CTTTTCCATATGAGCAAGTGTAAACCTACTTTTGCCCCACTCTGTATATTGCAAATAAGGGTATATGAATTCTGCATGTAAACGTGTGTGCATTACACAGATGTAAGTGTGTTACACACTCCCATGCTCCTGCCCTCAGAGTGTGAGCACATCTGTACGCAGGTCCAAGGCTTCCATAGTGCACCAGNTCCCATGCTCCTGCCCTCAGAGTGTGAGCACATCTGTACGCAGGTCCAAGGCTTCCATAGTGCACCAGGAACAGCTTCGGCTGCCTTATGGGCAATTCCAGTGAAAGGGCCTCACCTAGAGGCGGCATNTTACAGCCTGGCTGCCTTATGGGCAATTCCAGCGAAAGGGCCTCACCTAGAGGCGGCATCTTCTATAAGCACTTGCTCTGGCGCCTAGGAGACGTTTATTGGAAAGATCATTTGAGAACAGACGAAAGGGGAGAGGACTGCTGATTAATTACAAACAGCACCACTGTCCGAAACCCACAATGCCCACGTGGGCCTACACACACACACACACACACACACACACACACACACACACACAGGGGGCCACCAGACCCAAGGCCCCATTGTCCATCTCTGTGCCTGGGCTCAGGGAGCCCTGTGGCTGTAGTGGGACATTAAGTCACTCCCAGGACAGTGAGTGCCCTCTGCAAAGGGAATTAGAAAGGAAACTATCCCCCAAAAGGGCCATGTCTCACTGCTCCAGACTTTCCCCCAAACTCTCCCCCACCAAGTATTTCAGGTAAGGGATAGCAGGTTTGTGAAATTTGGTGGCAAATATGCAAATTTTGGCATCAGGCAAGGATTCAAGTTCTAGGTTCTCCACTAGATGACACTGGGCAAGAGATGACCACTTGGGCCTTGTTTCTCCAACTCTGACCTGCATGGTAACAGTAGCCCACGCTTCAGGGTTGGGTGAAATGCCGCCATGGGACTAGCCTCAGGATCGGGCCACACCCTGTATGCTCAGGCCCAGGCTCCCGGGACGCAGAGGGCAGATGCCGAGCGCCGTGCTGGGAGGTGCAGCCCTTCGCGTCCCACTCGGGACAGGCAGAGCCGAGTCCCCAGACCAGTCCAGGCCCACAGCCTCTCCTCAGTAGGACACAGCTGCACGTGACCCTGACGGGGTCCAGGCAGTGACAGTGACAAAACAGTAGAAACCAGGGGAATGTGAGTGAGCTCCGGGCAGCCTGGGCTCACTGACTCCAGAGGGCATCACAGGCCAGACTTAGAGCCTATCTCACCTCCCTACCCGCCCAGCTCAGAAACGGGCACCCTCTAGCTGCCCACCCCGCTGTCCATTTGCCACAAGCAATGCAAGCCCTGGCCAAATGCACAGCTCCAGAAGGAAAACAATAATATAACGTAAATATTGGATTTGTGGACTACAGCTCCTTTCTCACACGGACCCTGGCTTCTTCCAGAGAGTATCAGGCCTCCTCCCACTGTCTCTGTGGCTGCCGCTCCAGCCCCAGGACATCAACCCTTTTTGACACAATTGAAAAGGAAATAAGTGGCTGCTGTTTTACATGAAAGTAATTTCACACGCAAAGAATGCAGAGAGGCAGCTAAAGCTGAGTTGTGCTTCGGAACAAATCCTTATTAATAATTTAAGTGGTTTTCCAAATTGGAGTGGGAACTTACCTCTTTTATTTAAGTTCCTCCAAGTGACGGCAGTTAGCTTTGATTTTCTTATCTAAATGTGTCTTTTAAGACAACAAGTGTAAGACAATGGAGAAGGGTAATGAGATATTAAGAAAACATATAAGGCACGGAAAATGCGTGTAGAACACAGTTAAGCCATGCAGCTGAAGGTGGAGATTCCTGTATATTGACTTAGAGTATTTCAGGTAGGGAAGGGGGCAGATCTCTATTCATGTTCCATAGAATGGACCAAGGGGATACTATTAAGACATCGATTATAAGGAGGGGACTGGGAATGAGATGTAATGGGGAGTGTGTCGCTGGCTATCATCTAATGACTCAATGT